GTTTCAATGCACTTAAACTCTAAATGAAACACCTCTTTAAGAAGTGATTTTACTAGAAAAGTAAGACCAACTTTATGTGGAAAAGTAAGACTAAGTAAATGAATCTCTAGAAACAATTTGTTAAATTAAATACTTCGAAACAAGTGATTCTCCGAGCTCTCTCGAGGCATCAACTCATAGACTAGGAGCCTTTGATCCTCCTCAGTGGCGTAGGAGCCGATACCGAAACACCGATTTTGGCGAGATTTAAAATCCCACTACGATGAATTCGATTGCCAGGTTCACCACTTAGGTTGGCAAGACCTAAGATACAGAGATAAATTGAGAGAATCCACTCTCACGAAACTCACTCAACAGAGAAGAATTATAAACTGAAATTTTTGGATTCAAACTTCTCCATACAACGAAGGGAACATAGCTATTTAAAGGCAAAATCTAACATAAGGCAATAAATGAAAAGTGAAAATGCAATTGGGAGTTAGCCATCTTTGTGGAATTTAGTGGCCACTTTTGACAAAATTGCACCGGCCTATTTGTAGTCTGCAGAGTGTAGTATGAAATTTGCTGACTTGCAATCCTGGTGCAATGACATGGTGCTTTCGTGGTGCTTTCCCCCGGTGCATTCTCCTCTGGTTGGAGAAAACTCGTCCTCGAGTTTGAGTTCAATGCTCATGATCCTCATAGTAAGGAGATAGGTCAACTACATTGAAAGTAGCAGAGACTCCATAGTCACTTGGAAGTTTGATCTTGTAGGCATTATCATTGATTTTCTCCACTATCTGAAAAGGACCATCTGCTCTAGGGGAGAGTTTGACATTAGGTCGATTAGGAAACCTTTCCTTTCGAAGGTGTATCCATACCCAATCTCCTTCTTTATACACAACCTTCTTTCGGTGCTTGTCATGATGAGCCTTATACCTAATGGTTTGACGTTGTAGCTTCTCACGAACTTCTTCATGAAGTTTCTTAATCTCCTTGGCTCGTTGTTCCGCATCTGCACTAAATTGTCGGGATGTGGGCAATGGAGCAAGATCTAAAGGACTGAGAGGACACACTCCATATACTACTTCAAATGGGCATTTTCCTGTAGCTTGATTCGAAGAGTTGTTGTAGGCAAACTCAGCTTGGGCAAGCACAAGATCCCATTGTCCAAATTTTTTCCCACAAAACTTCGTAGTAGATTCCCCAAAATCTTATTGATAGCTTCAGTTTGCCCATCGGTTTGGAGATGGCTAGCAAAACTAAACTGGAGTTGAGTGCCCATCTTTCTCCATAAAGTCCTCCAAAAATGACTCATGAACTTCACATCTCTATCTGAAGTGATGGTCTTTGGAACTCCATGTAGATGCACAATTTCTCTAAAATATAACTCAGCAATGAGAGAAGCATCATTAGTTTTCTGACAAGCAATAAAGTGAGCCATTTTAGAAAATCTGTCAACCACGACCATGATAGAATCCTTTCTTTGTTGAGTTCGTGGTAGACCAAGGACAAAATCCATACTAACATCTTCCCAAGGTGAAGTTGGGATAGGCAATGGCTGATACAACCCTGTGTTTTGATTGATTGTCTTGGCTTGGTGACAAACTTTGCATCTTTGAATGTGACAAATGACATTCTGCTCCAACTTTGGCCAATAAAAACTTTCTTTAACAAGAGCTAAAGTCTTATCTCTCCCAAAATGACCAGCTAATCCACCATTATGTGCTTCCCAGATAATTGAATCTCGGAGTGAGCAACGTGGAACACATAGTCGGTTACCCTCGAAGAGGTAATCTTGCTGGCGATGATATTGCTGAAAGGCTTGATTAGAAGTGGCTTGCCAAATGTTGCTAAAATCAAGATCATCCTCATACAACTCCTTGATCACTTCAAATCCAGTGACTTTCATTTGTAAGAAAGTAAGTAAGGCATGTCGGCGACTCAGAGCATCATCTACACGATTCTAGACTCCAGATTTGTATTTGAGGAGGAAAGGATAAGCTTGTAGAAATTCACTCCAAGCAACATGTCGGCGACTGATCTTCTGTTGAGAATTCAGGTGCTTCAATGCCTCATGGTCAGAGTGCAAGATGAATTCTTTGGAAAGAAGATAATGACTCCAATGCTCCAAGGCTCGAACAATTGCATAGAATTCTTTGTCATAGGTGGAATATCTAAGCTTTGTGTCATTCAACTTTTCACTAAAGAAGGCAATGAGTCGACCTTCTTGACTTAACACTACACCAATTCCAACATTAGAAGCATCACAATCTACTTCAAACATCAGGTCAAAGTTGGGAAGTGCAAGTACAGAGGTTTCAGTGAGCTGCCTCTTTAATTCTTCAAAACTCTGTTGGGCTTTGTCATTCCATGAAAATTTGTCACCCTTAAGGCTGTCAGTAATAGGGGCAACAATAGAACTAAAATTCTTAATGAATCTCCAGTAAAAAGATGCCAGGCCATGGAAGCTTCGAACATCATGCATTGATGTTGGTGTAGGCCAGTTGACAATAGCATCAATCTTACTCGGGTCCATCTTGATACCTTGAGCAGTGATGATGTATCTAAGAAATGTCACACTTGTAGTGAGGAATGAACATTTCTTGAGATTAGCATAAAGTTTCTGTTCTCTAAAGACTTCAAAAACTTGCCAAAGATGGTCTAGGTGCTCCTGTTCATTCTTGCTATATACCAGGATATCATCAAAGTAAACCACAACAAATTTCCCAATGAAGGGTCAAAATTCTTGGTTCATAAGGTGCATGAAAGTGCTAGGAGCATTTGACAATCCGCATGGCATGATCGTCCACTCGTACAAACCATCTCTAGTTTTGAATGCTGTCTTCCATTCATCACCAAGACGCATTCGAATCTGGTGATATCCACTTCTCAAATCAATCTTTGAGAAGACAGTAGCTCCATGCAGTTGATCAAGCATATCATCAACGCGTGGAATTGGGAAGCAGTACTTGATAGTGATTTTGTTGACTGCTCGACTATCTACACACATTCTCCAAGTTCCGTCTTTCTTTGGGACGAGTAGCACAGGCACGGCACATGGGCTAACACTTTCCTTGACAAGTCCTTTCTCCATCAGTTCTTTGACTTGTCGTTGAAGTTCCGCATACTCTT